CAGTCTGATTACTTATTGTACTGTGACAATGAGAGTGCGGTGAAACTTGCTAAAAATCCAGTTTATCATGGCAAGACGAAGCACATCGGGATGAGGTATCACTTTGTGAGGGGATTGATCAGTAATAGAACAATCAAGTTGAAGAACATCTCAGGTGCTAAGAATCCAGCAGATATGTTCACCAAGACAGTGGTGCTGGATAAGCTGAAGCTTTGCATAGCTTCAGCTGGTCTCCTGGAATAGTGTTGAGGAGAGGGGCAACTAGGGAGATGTGAAGATCAAGGAAGATTTTTCATTTACAGAAGTACAGAGAGGAGCCGCAGTTTGGTCCAAAGACTCCAAGTGGGAGATTGTTGGTGATGTGTAGTCATCGGCCCAAAGTGGCCCACTTGTAGACAACTGAGAATTAGGAGACCAGATTAGGGTTTCGGCCGCCCAAATGGTTTTAAGCCCAGTTTGCTATAACTTGTCCAGCAAGGGTTAAACCCTAATTAGTTGTCTATATATTTGATCTCCTGTACTTGTAATCATCATCACTCAATAATACAAACCCTAGTTGCCCCTGTGGATGTAGGTCAGATTAGACCGAACCACGTTAAATCTCGTGTTCTCTATTGCTTTCTTGCTTTCTATTCGTGTGTGTGCTTTTGTTCTTAACAATACATACATACATACATACATACATACATACATACATACATACATACATACATATAATATGGTGTATATTTTACAATGATGAAATACTATATATTTATAGAATTATTAAAAAATGAAAAAGTTGTATACAAATGTATTCAAAGATCTTTTAAAAAATCAAAATGGACCAATGAATTGAAATGCATATATCCACATCATTAGTTAGTGCACATGTGGATGCATATGTGGCATGCCACATGTCAACACTACAACAATTGAACTCTCTTTTACATATATGTATAGGATACTCCATGCTTGAGGGAGAGAAACAATAGTAATAAAAGTAGGTTGTAGGGAGCTTCCAGATAGTTGATATATAGGTAAGATGAGGTAATACACATGACTAAGCACCAAGATGTCATGCCTTAACTAAGAACACTTGTATACTGTATATACTAATATACTTATTATCTTCTCCCATTTGTAATTTTACAGAGTAAATAGTATGGATACTTGCCACGCATAGTTTGAGTTTCAATAAAAAAAAATACGGTCTATTCACCCCTCTAGAATTTATACCTCAAACACTTCCTCATTTACCTGAAAGTGTGTAGCTTTTAACTTCAGATCCTTAGGCAACAAGGGATGTTGGGGATACTTTTCCTCCAAATACTGCAAAATATGAATATGTATCAGTTATTTTGTACAGAATTCCAAACATAACAACTCACTAGCACGAGGACAGAGGCTCACCATCAAAATTGCAAAAGAATCTGAAATAACAACATCTCCATCAACCAATACCGGCACATACCCCATTGGATTGAGCTTCAAAAAATCTACAATTCCATCCACAACACCGAAAATTGTAGAATAGTTCAATAAATATGTTACAAAATTGCAGTCCGGAGTATGATGGACTTTAATCCACCGGACACACCATGACTAAATGAAGATTGATACAGAAAACTAGATAGTAAACCCATAGGAGAGCAAAAGCTTCAAGCCCACTATTGAATAACATGAATTTGAAACCTTCCCCACACATGGAGAAGGAGTATTTATATTACATCCTATGGGCAATTACAACCCACTTTTCGTGGAGCTAATTTCATATTTCAAATGCTGAAGCATGAGGTGCATCCCTCCTTAGACCTAGCATTGCTCACCACTCTACTTGCATAATCCAGATAGGCCTTGCTCCTGGGTCAAGAAATTCACAACCTATTTCATGTGGGTATCACTTGTCTAGTGGAATGGGCTTGGCAACTTGGGGCAAGTCAACAATTATAATAATAGAATGACCTAGGTATGTTCGGATAATGAACATCATGCACTTGGACATGGCCCAATATACCATCACGGTCCAATCACTGACTGTATCACACAAATGGTCAACTGTTCTGTGAAAGTTAAGGTTTCAAAAATCGAGGTACTAAGCAATGTCATGGGATAACCCAGGGCCCTACAGTGCTTTGTTCGAAAAATTGACGGTTCCTAGCCCTTGGTAAACCCCCCACCCTAGCCCGACCCAAACCCACCCCTCTTCTTCAATTGCACCCCCCAAATTTTGTTGACTTTGGAGTCAACATTTGACTACAAAGTCAATAAAATTTGGGTTGACTCCAAAGTCAACAAAATTTGGGGTGCAATTGAAGGGGGTGGGGTGGGTTTGGGTCGGGCCGGGTGGGGATTTTACCGTGGGGTTAGGGGGATAGGAACCATCATTTTTGAATGGAGCACCGTAGGGCCCTGGGTCATCCAATGGCATTGGGACCAATATCATGTGAACCAAACCGTTCAAAAATTGCTTCTTAATTTCCTAATAAGTTTGATTTAAATTATTTCTTTTCAGAAAAATCTTGGATTCTTTCGAGGGATATTTCTATACATGTTGATTGAAATTCAAGATTAAGTTGGGTTGATGAAGCCAAAGAAAATTTCATGATTAGTGTTTGAAGATTTTACCAATATAATTTTCATTGTCATTGAATGATAATTGAGGTTAGATAAAAGGAGCTAATCACACCTAGCATGGTATGAAGGATGGAGGACAAACATATTTGAAGATCAATCAAGAATTCTTTCTAGTATTTTTAATTTGATATTTGTATACTTCTTTCATTTAATTACTCTCTTTGTCCTAAAACTTTTTTCTTGACTTACTATTCACACGATCAAACTTTCACTTTCTTTGCTTATTTTCATTAGTCATTTGTTAAAATTATGTATATCACCTCTTGTTTTATACTCCCTCCGTCCCGGAGTATTCGTCCAGTTTTGACTTTTGGAACTGTTCATCCAAGCACTTTAACTCATCAAATTCTCTCAATGTGTAAACCTATATATAGTCATGTGTGATCTTGTTTGATTTGTCTTAACATATAGATTATTAATATATAATTTCTATAATTTTTTAATATACAAATTACAAGATAAAATGGATTAAAGAAGTGTATTGGATGGTGTGTAAAAATGAAAGTGGACAAATACTCTGGGACGGAGGTAGTAGAACATTTCATGTAGTTTTAAAATATATAAAATTGATTTTAAATTTTATGCAGTCATTTTGTCAGTGTTATTTTCACTTTGTTCCCACATGTCTAATTTTTTTGTCTCATGCATTAGCTTTGGCCCCCCCATGGGCAAACCAATATGATACCCTTGGATTCTGTCCCTCCCGACTTTGTCTCAATCCTAATTTAATAATATGTCTGCATTCCCTGAAAAAGTTTTAAAAATTTTACATTTATAATAAAATAAATTGAATTAAAAATAATTTTAGTCAAACCTCGTAAATAGAAACATGAAGAAAGTTTTATGATGGATGGAATAAGTGTGTAATTTAGCATTAAGAAATAAAAAAAGTTTATGTTTGAAATAATAAAAAATAAGAAATATTCTTCTTGACCCTTTGGGATGTGAGACTTAGTATGAGTTTCAACAATTTGTGAGTTGTGAAATCACACCTTTCGTGTTGTTACGGTGCGGGGTGCGGGAATTATAGACTTATGACTCTCAAAGGCACACCTTACATGTAGCAATGGCAAGGTGTCGTACAGGCCTCTAATTATCCTTTGTTTTTGAAAAATCCTTCGGACAGTAAAATATCGACCCACGATGTCATATGCCCCCGCGGGTCTTGAGCAGGTGCTTTTGCATCATGTTCTCCCCTGAAAGGATTGTGATCCCTTGCAAAGTCATCGGCAGACCTGCATTAGGCGACTCCACAACAACCATCTCCAGCTGTCTATCTATCTTGTTGATCCTGCATAGATCTCCCGTCAGAGCGTGCAGCGTCAGACATACTATGTCAATGGCAATGCTATGACAGGTGGTGCTCTTATTCTTTCTTCTGGCCATCATAAATGATGAGCACACTTGAGGGTCACGCTTCAGCTCTAAGTGAGAGACTAAATGATGAATTTTAATCCACTGGACACGGGAGTGGGCCATAAGGATATGAAAGTTATTTCAAAATACTAGTTTGTAAAAAGAATAGGAGAGCGAAAACTTCAATAACACAGAATAACAAGATTCAATCTCTTCTCCACGCTTGAAGGAGTATTTATATTACAACCGGTGAGTACAATCCACTTTTCGTGGAGCTAATTACGGTCTACGAATCGTAACTACCTCCGTCCTTAGATCTAATCTTGCTCACCACTCCACTTGCACCATCCGGGGAAATTCACAACTCATATCAAGTGGGCTTACTCTGTCTAGTAGGACAGGCTTGGCATCTTAAGCATAATCAACAGTAATAATAATATAATGGATTGTCTACATTCAGTATGATAAAAGTCATGCATTTGGGCCCAAAGTACCTATCAAATCAAAGTAAATGTTGAGCGATTTATGTTCGGGAACTATCATTTCATTTCAATTCCAAAATTTGATTTCTTAAATTTCAAATGACAAGCCGAGACATATAGATTTGCAATTGAGCTTTGTAATGAATTACGGAATATTGTGAAAAAACTTGACGAACCAGGGCTGAATTGTTCGCCGGTGATCAAGCTAACAGCTTTATACTCGTAATCCAGTCCTGCGAATATTTTTGAATTATTTTTTTTAAGGAATCTGGACAGAAGTGTGCGGATAAATTGGAAACTTGCCTTTTAGGTTGAGAGCAATCCGAATACGGAAAGAGCACGAACTCCGCCAGTACGAGTAGAGCTGAAGCCTGTTTGACTCTCCTTTGCCGTCAGTTGCCGCCTATGACATCACCATATGGTTTACCAAAATTGAACACTTAAAAGAAATAAACAAACCTAGCTCACCATGGTTGAGTGATACAACTGATAGGAAGCCAAGAGCGAGGAGACAGATAGATTTGGGAAGAAAGAAGATTGTAATAGGGTGTATTTTAGAAATGAATTTCAATCTCAAACAAGACAAGAGTATTTAGACCCATCCCAACGGGATGGAGGGATTCCAAAAAGTAAATTAGAGCAATGTAGCATTTTTCAGTAAATTATTGTAGTGGTAGGTTTAGATCTAGTTTTAAACACAAAAAGTTAGCTTTAACCATCACAAAAAGATAGTTGGGTTTATGAAAAAATGGTGGTCTCTACCCATCTAGATCATTAGATCATTTGTTCTGTTTTAAATTTTTTTTGAATAAATTATATAAAAGGTTTCAAATTATAGATCGTTTTCTATAATTAGTCCCCACATATCAAACATGTTGTAAATATATGCTTTTTCTTTCTTCTCAATTAAACTTCTTTCATCATCTCGTACTCCCTCCCAAACTTGTCGTTGAGTTTAAAGCTCTGAACCCAAAATCGAAACCATCATTCCACTCTCAATCATTTGTCTTCTTGAAACCCAAAATCGAAACTAATAACTTTCATGGATGAGTTTTATGGATTAGTCTCAGGAAATTGCAAAGAAAACAAACCTTGGAACTCATCCATGAAGGTTACTGATTTCGATTTTAGGTTCCACCAGGAGGATGGACAATTGAGAGAAGAGTGATGGTTTCGCTTTTGGGGTAGAGCTTCAAACTCAGCGACGGGTTTGAGAAAAAGTACGAAATGAGGGAAGAAGCTTAATTGAAAAGAGAGAGGAGTTTGAGTTCACAATTTTATCTATGTTCTTAATAGGAATGTTAACACATGACTATTCATCGAAAACAATATAATGGGAAATAATACATAGTTTAGCCCACATTTTCCAATTATTCACGAAGAACAATAAAATCGGACATGTTTAGTAAAATGGTGGAATAAAAGAATATTCCCCGTAAATGCTCTGATTGCTCCTATAGAAGGAAGGTTTACTCCACCAAGAGGGGGGGGAGCCTCTTCCTTTTCATCTCTCTCCCAGCCCATATCCATCTCTCTAGATTATTCATTGTATACTTTCTTCTTCAAAATATTCAAGCTTCTATTAATGGTTTCTAAACCCAAATTATGTACCGTGTACAACCTCTGATATTAATAAAAATCTTCCGTTGGAAAGGTATCGCCAAAAAGAGTTTGTGGTTTTCTCCCAACTGGATTTTCACGTTAAAGTTCTTAAGTTTATATTTTCATGTATTTTGCTAGACTAATTTATTGTTCTTGCCCGAATAAGAATAATACACCGACCGAGATAATTTACACTATCATTTTGGTGCTGACCGTGAAACTAAAATTTATCCTACAAAGTACCTCCAAATTTGTCCGAAAATACCAGTAGGTAAAAGAAGACCCTTTGTTTTCTTACAAAAAAAAAACCACTCCATTTGCTGAAGAACAAAATTGTGGGGGACTGAAAAAAGAGAGAACAAAGAGATAGTTAAATGGGAGAGAAGCCCAAGAATGTTCCACCATCTCATACGTTAGGGCCTTCCACCATTGTCAATGTATATATGCTCTAGATCGTTTGCTTGCACCTCTAATTTTGGCGCGATTAGCGCTTAAGCTCGATGTAGCTGCAGTTGTCAGAATCTATCATCACCATCCCTCGAGTACGTCGTTGCTGAAACTACAGCCCAAGTCTTCGTCGCCGTTGATTTTTTTTTTTTGAAAAAAATAAAATTAAAGGAAGGGGTGCTAACTAGATTTTGACCGGTGACCGCCACCTTTGACTAATTGCCGCCGCCGGCCACGACCGCCTTCCGCCGCGCCACTGCCTCCGGCCACCACCTCCACCTGCCGTCGCCGCTGCTGACCGGTGGTTGACTGGTGTTGCTATTTTATTCTTAGTTAGTTTTTTAATATTAAAAATTTTAAAAAATGGTAAGTTTTTGGTGTTCAAAGTGGTTAGCTTTGCTTTATTTCTGTGTCATCTCACCGTAAGGTGTCATCTGACTGAAGTCAATTCCTACACACAAACACACATCTATCTAGATTAGTCATTGTATATTTTATTTTTCAAAAGCTTTAAGCTTCCATTAATGTATTCTAAGCCTAAATCATGTACAGTGTACAACCCTCAATAATAATAAAAATCTCCCTATGGAAAGGTACCACAAAAAAAGGCTCGTAGTTTTCTCCAGATTGGGTTTCCACGTCAAAATTCTTATATTTGTATTTTTGTGTATTTTGTTAAACTAGTTTATTATTGTTCTTGCTCAGCTAAGAAAGATGCACGAGTCGAGATAATTTACACCATCACAATATAATAATTAACAACTAAATTAATGATATTTGTTATGTGGGGACTAAATATGAAAAATGACCTATAAGGCTATAACTGGAATGAGAAAAATATTAATTGAAAGAATAATGCTTCTTTATTTTTATAACACATGCCTTATTTATACGGAGTACATTAATATGTAAAAAAAATGTCAAACAAACTTGCCACATGTCAAATTTTTAGAAATTCAATTCTCAAAGTTTACAGAGGCATATGACATCCATATAAAAGGAAAATGCTTGGTTCACAAACAAAATGTTCACAAACTTCACAAACTTACTATTTGTGAACTTCAATAATTAAAATTAAATAGTCTAAAATTCTCAAAGTTTACAGAGGCATATGACATCCATATAAAAGGAAAATGCTTGGTTCACAAACAAAATATTCACAAACTTCACAAACTTACTATTTGTGAACTTCAATAATTAAAATTAAATAGTCTAAAATAAATTTAAAATGAAAATTTACATCATAAATAGTAAGTTTGTGACGTTTGTGAGTATCATAAAATAAAGTACCATTCCTCCGTATAAAATGTTTTTTTGTACGGAGTAAGATCCCAGAAGGCTTCTCTTTGGAATAATTGAGTAATTGACTGTCCCCATTTTCTGCCTATCTCTGACCCTCGACGGGATGGCCACCGTGAGATCTACAGTGCCGCCGTCTTCATCAAAAACCCGATGGAACAAACTCTCAGTCCACGCATCTCGCATCTATTTTGTTCTCATCATCCTTCAGATACCTCTCTTCAGGTACAAACACAGCTATATGCGCTTGGATGTTAATAACGGCCTTGTGATTCATTCTGCGTTCGCCACTCTGACATCTCCAATGTGTGTCATGTTTTCACCGTCTGCTTAAGCTTTGTTTCATTGAATTAGGATGTTATACTCAATTATTCTGTAAAGTAGCCTATGAAAAAAATGGAGATAATAAAATGACAAGAAAGAAAGTTTAGTAGGAATTTTTCAGCGGTGTTTTGCACGTCTTTGATTGTGTAAAACTATTTAAAGTTGGTGAATTTAGTTTATTGAAACTCTAATACTATGTTTGGTTCAAGGAACTTGAAAGGGAGAAAAGAAAATGAGATGGGAAATAGTTTTTCTTGTTTGGTTAGAGAGAAAAAGATAAGAAAATGAGAAAAAAAGAAATTGAGAAGACGAATATTACTAAGAGGAGGAAAAACCAATTGCCTCTCAGTTTGGTGAGGAAAATGAGAGAAACCCATTTTCTCTTCTTTTCCTTCTAGATTCCTTGAACCAAACATAGTGTAATGAATCATTTGAGTTGGAAAATGATAAAAAAAAATTTAACTTGATGGATCTCATTTAAGTTCATAAAAAACTTAAATAGATTAACTAAGATACCCTATGGGTGAAATGGATTCACAGTAAATACCTTAAGGGATCATCTGTCTGGGACTACATTGCTAAGCCTGATGATTGTTATTACTGGAAGAAGTTGGTTCAAACAAAAAAGCCTCTTTCTGGGAATGAATCTGTCTAGCTGCTATACAGTCAAGGAGGGATACAAATGGCTAATAGGCAGCCACCCGAGAGTGGAGTGGTTTGATATGGTTTGGAACAAATGGTCTATACCCAAACACTGCTTCATAACATGGCTTATATGGAGAGGTAGACTTCTCACCAAGGATAGATTAAGCAAATTCACTAATGTGGATACTACATGCGGTCTCTGCAACAATGGGGTGGAATCAGTGGACCATCTCTTCTGTTCCTGTGCTATGGCTCGACTGATATTGGAGGACTTATCTCAATGGATACATGTTGATATCACAGTTGGGTCGATTAGAGAATTGGGAAGTAGAGTGGGGAAAGGAAAGAACAGAAAAAGTCGAAGAACTATTGCTGCATGTATCACTGCGAGTTGCTATTTCATCTGGAAAGCGAGGAATGATAAACTTCACAATAATAAGGAGGTTGCTAAGGAGCACATTATACTGGAGATTAAATCTGCTGTTACCATGGCAATTGGTCATAAAGTGAACATCAACACTGTTGCCTTATAGAATGTGATTGGCTATAGTTAGAGTTGTTGGAGTTGAATGTATTAGAGATGAGTTGCCTTGTATTGACTGTTTGGTTTATATATAATGTGCTTTCGTTCAAAAAAAAAAGGTCTGTGTACGCATACCCTCTCTAGACTCTAATGTTGCGGGATTTTAATGGGTTGTTGGTGGTGGTGACTTTTAGAAGGTTATGATATGAGTTCTGAAATTTGAAAGAAAAGATATGTGTTCTGATATCTGGTGGTGTTTTGGGGCTGGCAGCAGGAGGAGTTTTATGAGTTCTGAAATTTGAAAGAAAAGATATGTGTTCTGGGGCTTAATAAGCATATGGTGCATGACATAAAAGAATGAAAAAGAAGATTTTGGTGGATGGTATCGTGGTATCGGCAGATATATGTTGGTTCATGTAGCTTCCAGCTGGCCCCTTTGGTTTGTGATTAAGGGTTGATTGTTGTTACCAAATGCTATCTAAACAGTATGACAACACTCAACCGCACAGTTTCTTTTTGCTGAAGAATTGTATCACTTTCCTTTCTTGGGATCTCGCTTCCTTGCACACTCAATAAAGTTCCACTTACCCTTAAGTTGCCTTCATGAAAAAATGTGTTCTTGTCAAGTATAAACGATTCACTGGTTCCTTCAACCAGCAGATATGTATTAATGGAAATGTTTTTCTTGGAGTTTAAATACATGGAGATTAGACTGGTGTTGTATCAGTATGTCATAGCCAGCTATATCAGACACACAAAAGCTTAATTTTTCTTGTGACCAAATTTTTTTTGTGCGAAATTCTGGTCAAGCTATCTAGAATGGGATGGTGGCGGTGTTACTGAAGAGGAAGTCCTAATAATAACTAGCTGAGTATATGTGTGCTAAATTTGAATGATTTTAAGAAAAAGCCTTTTCCATTCAAAAGTTTTTGGCTTCAATGTGGTGTACTATTATAGCAATGGGAAGCTGCTTCCACAATATGCCTTTTCCATTTCAGTTACTTTATGCCACTGATTCCTTTCATCTTACAATATATTCCTAGGGTTCCATGTAGATCTGGTATGTGTACAACACCAATGCATGTCACATCTTCCCAGTTGATTGCCAGTGATATATTTCCTGTTCCAGTTGTGAAGGTCCTTCTGTACCCTGGGGCATTTGCCAATAGCTTAATCAGGAATATGACAGTTCCTAGTTGGGACAATTTGCTAAACATGTACAACCTGACTCGTATAAAGGATGCTTCTGCAGTATCGGACCTACAGCGCTTGGAGGTTTTCCCTTGAAGTCCTTAACTGCCCTTTTTAGTTTTCTTTTACCACATGCCCATCTAAAATAATGCCAATGTGAATATCGTGTTGCATTTGTCTCTTCTGTTGCAGGCAATGCAGCTAGCCATGTAACCTTAATGAAATGATGACCACAAATAGTGTATCATTTTTGGTATTCTAATTGTTTCCTATGCGGAATAGTGATTAGGAGTCATTACTTGTCAAATCTGGATTTAGCTTTTTGAGAATCTCAAAATTTGAGAACCAAGAGCAATTCAGTTTTTATATTTTGTTCTCAGTGTGTGATCGCGGGCGCATGTTGATGTGCTTTATAGGGGGCGGTTCATAACACACTGGTCCTGTGTGTGCTATTATTAGCACACACAACAATTTTGGGGACCCTATGTTGCCCAGTTGGTGGAGGACAAGCACTGTAATCGATGTTGTACGGTTTTATATATATATTGGAAGCAGAGAAACCTTGCTTTTTATGTTACTAGTCACATAGAATTGAATGGTGCTTTTACACGTGTGTCTTGTGTTGCTTATGATTTATGATTAGGTAAAAAATCTCCTACGTCTCAGTCATATGCTATTATAGCCCGTTTCCGAGGCATGTGCAATATCATTGCTCTTCCCCTGGCCTGGCAGTGATTATTGAAAATGTTTTTTTTAGCTTCGTGACTAAGTTGAAATGATACATTAAACTTCTGTTTCTTATTTTGCTTTGACGTTTTTGGAAGTAATTGCAGCAATGTGTGAAGGGTCTAACAAAAATAGCCTCTGTTGTTTTACAGAGGTATACATCTTGACCTTTCACACCCAACAGAGTTGGGATTACACTGAGGTCGTTTCTTGACATTTTTAATCTTCAAGTAAAATTTACAAGATTTGGTACGTTATGTTCTTTGAGTGCTCGCCCACAAGCTCATCTTTCTTGTTGTCATATATAGGTTCTTGCTGGAAGCTATTTCTCTGTAGCTGGAGCTCTCATTGGCATCATAAAATCTGGAAGGATGAGCATGTTTGGAACACTACTAGTTATTTGGGGCCTTGTAAAGGAAGGTATACTTAACAAACAAGCAAACCCTGATCCTGCAAGGGCAGTCTTTGTCTATCCAACAATGTTGATAGCATTGGTCTGTTCGTTCCTGTCTGTGAAGTATGACATAAAGAGGGTTATGAGAGGGACACCAGTAAGAGCCGTGGCAAAGCCTCTGCAGAGATCCTCAAAAAACAAACTGAACTGAATCCTTCCTGGTAGTGGTACTGATGCTTTTTCTATCAGATGCTTCTTCTCCCATGGATGTTTCGTCATATTCTGGGGACCTAATTAAGTATGAGTATGTTGGAATCCCTTGGAAAATTTGACTGCATGAAAGGGGAAATTAATGTGAAGAAATACTGAGAAGTATGAAAAGCTGCTGTGAGATTTTAACTGAGATCCGTCAGTTTCCCTTTCTGTTTGCTACTTGGGTCATTCTGTTGAGATTTAAGATCTTAAATGCTCATTCATTCATTACTTGGGTCATTTTTACTGAGATCTTAAATGCTCATTCATTCATTCATTCTGTTGGATCATTTTCCCGTAACTGTGAGATTTTAACTGAGGTCATTCTGTTGATCTTAAATGAACACACCCGTAAAAATATTTTTTCGAATGCGTGAAAATAAATATTTTGTTAATTCGAAATGAGTATTTGTTGGATGTACCTAGGTCTACGTAATGATCCGGAAAATGTAGATCCGATCTATAACCGAAAACTAAAATGATCCGAACTGAACCGAAACCAAACTAAATAATTCATATCCGATTTAAATCCGAAATTGATTATATCTGAATTAATTAAATCCAAAACCGATTATTATATTAGATCCGAAACCAATAAAACGCTAAACCGACTAAATCTGAAATCGGTAATATCTGAAACCGATTAGAACTAAAACCGATAAAATCTAAAACTATGTTTGCCTTTGAATACACATATTATATTGTTAAATTTTTAAATTGCATTACTTGCTCATTCCCTCATAAAATGGATAACCATCTTTTAAAAAATTTACTTAATCTCATGCCTTGAATTTATTATATTTAGAAATTGAACAAAAGTTATACATATAAAATATGGAATGAATAAAGTGAGCCAACTACTTTGTTATTAAGAAATTAGGTATGAGAGTTGAAGGTGAGTGAGAATTGAGAAATGAGTTGAATGGTGGACTGGTGGTGTAAGAAAAGTGATAAGATTAAGGAAAGAAAATGAAAAAGAATGGGGAAAACTTCGAGTTTTAGGAGAGAAGATTAGACATGAAAATTTAAGTCTTTGATTAGATATTATTTAAAAAAACACAGTATTAATTTCAATTATCAGTTACAAAATCTAATTAAAATAATCTTGTTTTGAAAAAAAACTCCCTCCATCTTAGAAAGAATGCTACATAACGCAAAACAAAGTAAAAATTTAAATATATATTGTAATTAAATATATATTTTTTCATAATTTATATTCAAAATTTGTAAAATATGACTAAAAAGTCAAAAAAGAGATTATTTAGGGTCTGGGTAGAGACAATATAATTAGAAAAAATGTAAAATAATATGAGGTATTGAATTGATGATATAATGATAAATGTGGTAAAACAAAAAAGAGACATAAATAATTAATTTTAATTAGAAAATACTACCTCCGTTCCAGAGTATTTGTCCACTTTCATTTTTACACATCATCCAATACACTTCTTTAATCCATTTTATCTTCTAATTTGTATATTAAAAAATTATAGACATTATATATTAATAATCTATATGTTAAGACAAATCAAACAAGATCACACATGACTATATTTAGGCTTACACATTGAGAGAATTTGATAAGTCAAAGTGCTTAGATGAACAGTTTCAAAAGTCAAAACTAGACGAATACTCCGGGATGGAGGGAGTAACATATATCCAAAATATGTTTAATCAAAATATATTCGAACTGAAACATATCCGAAACCGAAATATATCTCAATCAAACTAGATCAGAAACTGAAATATATTCGATTGAGATTGTACCCGAATCGAAATCTATCAGAATTGATTTATATCCGAACCGTATCTAAACCGATTTGAAAGCGAATCGAAATAGGAAAATGTATAGAACTGAATCAAATCTGAACCGAAATTAAACCAATCTGAAACGAACCAAATATAACATATATCTGAAAGATATCTGAATCGAAAAATCCAACTCGGAACTGATCTGAATGATCATATTGCAACATCTATCCAACAAAGATGTGTGTGTGTGTGTGGTATTCTTTATGTGGATTGTATGGGGTCAATTTGGTATGAAAGGGCGGTATCCCCTAGCGTAAATGTCTATCATTAAGGGAGAAAGACCAAAGTAGGATTAAAACATTGAAAATTTACCAAAATAGGACTTTCATGTTTTTATTCTCAAAATAAGACTTACATTACCAGACATGGTCATATACATTACCAAAAAAGTATAGTAATTTGCACATGTACACTGCCACATTACCACAATGTAAAGTCACATTACCACAGTGCAAAGTCCTATTCCGGGAAAAAAAACATGAAAGTTTTATTTTGGTACTTTTCTCTATGTTTTAATCCTATTTAGGATGATTTCTAAAGAGAAAATCACGATGAGAAAAACAATGGGCGCAGCCAAGGCCAAGGTAACCCCACATAAGTCACTCTATATTTTACACAGACACGCATAAAATATTAGCAGTATTTCATACGGGTAAAGCATGAGGTCACCCATGAAATCATCCATGTGTGGTTTTCCCAATAATAATCCTAAAAACTTACCACAAATTCCCCATCAATGTCATAGATGATTTTATATATACATAGATAATAATCATCTATGTTCATAGATTATTATTATTGTATGTGTATGTATAAGTGAAATTTACACTAAATAAGACTAAAACATAATGACTTTCCTAATGTAGGACTTAATTTTTTTGATTCCCTAAATAGGACTTAATAATGACCTAGTGGGAGGAATAATGTCCAGTAATGATGGACATTTACTTGAATAATGACTACTTGATAATGACCAAAGGTCCTACATTGGGAAATAAAAACATATGGTCCTATATTGGGAAAGTCATTATGTATTAGTCCTATGTAGGTAAATTTCTCTTTTCTCTTTTCACTGATTTGTTTCCCTCAATCCTATGTTGGGTGATAGGGGTTCTAAAGGCATCTGCAATGGTAGTCTGAATAGAGTCTGAAGGAGAGTTTGAAGACTGTTCTCTACACTTTACCATTAGGTTGATAGAAGAGGAAATTTTGAGAGTGAGTCTTTGAATTCCTAGACTCACTCTCAACACTCCCAACTCAGTTCATCCAATAAAAATCAAACACATGTAATCAAACAATAGTTATTTTTTGAAAAAATAGTTGCCATTATTTTGTAATAAAAAAGTCAATACTTCCCAATTGTAAAAAATCTTATTGTCAATTATGTTTACTTATATAGTTTTATACTGTTATTATTTGTAATTTTTTATTTTATGCATTTTTATATTTATATTTTAGGAACAAAATATATTTCTTTATGCAATTTTATACAACATATTTTAATTTTTTTAGGGATCAAACATTGAAACACCTGAAGAATAAAAAAACAACTTTTTTTATTCACGTTGAAGTGTTGAACGTGTCACTTTATATTTCAATTATGTTTACGCATGTACTCCTTAATTTTAATTTATTATGTTTTAAATTTTATTTTAAACAATTTAAATTTTATGTGTGTTTACTGAAATAAATTTTAATGAATACATTTATTTTCTTTTATGTGTGTTAATTTTATACAGAGTATAATTTTTTCTATAACTTTATCTTGTTGACTTTTTTAATGACTTATTATATTTATAAATAAATTTGATAGAAAAGATAGCGTATTATGTAATTATATGTTAGATAACTAATTAAATAGAAATAAAAGTTTAATAGAACAAAAGATAATCAAATGCTGATATTGTAAGGTTCAAAGGGGTCTAAATGTTGGAATAATTTTTCTGGAAGTCTAAGAATAATTTGAAATACTAAAATATGACATCTCAAAGTTTAAAATTATACTCTCTCTATCCATTAATTTTTTCTCTCAGAATGTCTAAAAAAAATTCGTGTTTTCTATTTTAGCAATTTGTTTAAATGAATGTGCCATTATACCTTACTCTTTTTACATCATTTACTTTATTCCATTACATCAAATACTACACGTGAATTTGTTTGATATTTAACTTTTTTAAATCTTTGTACGAGGTTAAATTGGGAAAGAAAATTTTGGGAGGGAGTAGGGGTGTAAACGGATTTTAATCGGATCGGATGTGCTATTACCAAATCCGTATCCGTTTACTTTTGTCGGATATCGAATTCGGATACGGATCTTGACGGATATTGAAAAATCATAACCGTATCCGCATCCGTCGGATATCGGTCGGATATCGGATATATCCGTATCCGTTTCCAATTTTGAAAACTAAACTAAACAATACTTGAATTTTCAATTAAACTAAATTAAAATATTATTAAATCAACTATAATTTTTTATGGGATATTTATTTTCTTATTTTTTATAGTTTATGATATTATACGATGACTTCATATCATAAAAAGATATACACCGTACATATATACACATATTTTTACATGTCTACA